CTGCATGCCAGCTAACTATAGCCCCATGAGTAGGCCATGCTCTTAGAAAGTGGGAGAAATGGGTTCAAAGTTCTTCGTACTGAGAGGTCACTCAGTCACTTTTTTTGTAACTGAGAGAGGTCACTTTTTGTGGGGGAGTGCTCTAATCAGGGAGTTGTTATGTAAAATCACTGCTAGCATGATTCCTTTTCCACCAGCTGCTTTTAAAAAAAGGTGTGGAAATAACTGTGTTTTGGAAAGATAAATCCTGTCAGAGTGGGACAGTAGCTACCTGCCTGATGGAGTGAGACCCTGCAGAGATTTTGAAACAGTTCCACCTTATTTCTGCTTTTCAGTGCATGGGAGATCTATATTCCTGCACTGTTGCAGAAGCAGAACTGGAAGCACCTTTGGAAACTTCTCGTCACTGAGGTCGGCAACACCAGCTGAGTATAGAATCTGGCTGTCTCCAGGTTAACCAGCCACTTCAGATAGGCTTCGACTTCAGACTAAACATATAAATTTAGGTATTTTCAGGTAGGTGCCCATATGTGCTTTTGGTATCTGAACTGCCATGGTAGTCAGTGGAGCTTTACTCAATGCAGTCAGTGGACCCTAGATAACAATTTAACTCATCTCAGTATAGAGCTTGATGTTCAGTTTAGTTTCTTAAGCATTGGTGTCTAGTGCCATTTGAGATTCCCTAGGATATACTGACTGGCTGTTACTCTAGAAAAGCACAGGTTTCTTCTGGATCCTGTGGTATATCTGCTACCCCTTTTCTTGGATATGTTAGGCTGTCTCAAATGATACTAGACCGCTATGCTTAACTAACTGCTTTAAGCCTTAGAGGCTGGTGACCTTGATCACTGTCTAGGTTGTATTAACTACATCTCTGTTGAAAATAGTCTGTATGTAGACACCCACATATAAATATCTTAATCTTTAACTGAATGCTACCTTTACTGACTTAGTTTTCTCATAGTGACCGACATGCTAGATTTTTTTCTTAGTTCTTCTAATTGAAAGCAATAAGAATATCAGCAGTGTTGCTTTACTCTGGCTAGAATGATTTGATTATCCCATATGTATGGTCAGGAAGCATTATACTTCCATTAAATCAGATGAGACTGCTCTTTATCACAAGGAATTATCTCTTAATGCTCTAAAGTGAGTAAACTTTCTTTCCTTTAAAAGACTTCAAAACCATTGTGTCATTAGGGAGGGAAGTGTTAAGTGCAGCATATGGCAGCATCAGTTTGAAAGAAGCCGTTGAAAAAGTGAAATTACAACGCACTTCAGCCTAAAAAGCCTTGAAAAGGGTAGTGGGAGGGAAGGGACCAAATCATCTGGTTCAACCCCCAGTTCAGATGAAAAAAAGTTAAGCTTCTGGCAGAAATTTCTTCTAATATAAATATTTAATGGAAAGCAGGCAAAGTAACAAAGTAAAGTTATATTCTGTACTTAACATGCAGTAATTTCAGTTTGGAATAACAGTATCATCCATAACAGTAACATTCTGCTCCTTCTTTCATTTTTAATTGACTTGACTACACAAGTACTCACATACAGTTAATGATGGTCACAAGCAAGATGTGCTTGAGCCCTCTAAGCTGAAAGAGCCCAAAAGACATTTTGTAAAAAGAGTCCACACTACATTCTCATAACTTTTATTTTATAATATTTTTTAAATGGCAGTTCTATAAACATGAGGGGTTTTATTACATTACTAGGAAATTATGGTATAAATTGTCACAATGCTCTGATGAGAAATTCATAGCATTGATGTAATCCTTAATCATGCTAAGGAAAGTTAAAGATGAAGGGTTTTCAGAGATGCTAAAGGAATGGCATTGAGGAAGTGTTATTTGCTATGTAATGCATCCAAGATTGCCAGAATCTTCAAATAAGTACCTTTTAATGCAGTTTCATAAATCCAAAGATTAATTACTCTGCAGCACCGTGAAAAATGTTATTTTACTTCACACTGTAAATCTGGATTATATACTTTTCATCAGATATATTCATGAGGGCTTTTCCTAAATAACAGAACTGGCCGTATCTTTTTGTGATGGCGTTTACTTAATCAAAGACATTATAAAAAAACAAACTGTAAAATATATAAATAGATTTTTTACCATAAAATTTTACTCTCATGATAATTTGCTTTGTGTTTCATTGCAGAACAACTACTCTCATTGTGGCAACCAGCAGGTTGCCCTTAATTAAAGCTCTGCAGTTATGTAAGCCAGACCATTCAAATCAACATTTTTATACTTGTCTGAAAATATGCAATAGACTACAAATTGAAGCATTTTCTACAAGTTATTCTAAAGAACTTAAGCTAAAATGAAGGATCAAATTTCCCTTTTACTTCATCTAATTGTAGTAGAGAATGTCTCTCAACTTCAGTAGAGTTACCTTTGATTTTACTGGGAGGAAAAGCTAGTACATAAATTCAGGAAAGCCTCCCCAAAAATAATCCTTGTGTTTATGACACTCTTTGAACAGAGAGAGACAGAATCTTAGCAGGTGTGAAACTGCTCTCCTTATTTCAATACGGTTCCTCTTATTTCATTAATCTACACTGTTCCATTTTGCTTAATTTAAGAAGAAATTGCAATTTGGGCAGATTAGTGATGAAACCAGTACAGTTAAAATGACTGTACGACAATCTATCAGGATGTGCTGTATGCTATAACATCAGCCAAGCTGAATGTCTAGTCCAGGAATTTCATCAGTGTAGGACCTTTAAGCTTGTAACTTTTTGAAATTAAAATGGAAGATCTCTCTGGATATGTCTAGTAATAAAGGAAAACTCACTAAGGAAGAGTTTCCTGTCATCTAATTTTAGTCATTTGAAATTATAGTCATCTTGCTAAACTAGTCTTTGAAGCTCCATCTATAGTCAGTGAGAGGTGTTTCCAAAGTGCAGTTTATTCCCTCTTAGAAAAAGGTTTTTAAAACAGGTATGGAGTGAAAAAGCTCTAGAACTTCCAAACTATCATCACTGGCTATAGAGCACACTACCTGACCTCATTAGACTATGCACACTACTTTTAGGTAGCTGACATTCAGGAATGTCAGCTACATACAGTCATGTGCCAAGTATGGAATAACATGATTGAAACACAAGCATGAGGGATACTTTGTTCATGTGCAAAGTGTACTTATTATGATACTCTGTAACTTCTGCAATATTGAATAGGAATCAAGGGTCCTGAGAATTTCGTAGGATATAAGCACCAGTCTACTGTGGTGCTTAAGATACAATTGCTATTAACTGTGATGTCTGGGTCCAGAATACCTCCTGCTCTCTGAGACTGAATCCAGCTTCTTATAAAGGCAACAAAGAGAAGCAAGAGCCATACTCAGAGCACTTAACTCTATGTTTCTAGTTTAGAAGACATATCTTATGTTCTCCATGGAGATCAAAGTCAGACAGCTTCCGATGGTAGGAGCCTAAATTCATTAGATGTCACTTGCCTATCTATTTGGCTCATGATCAAAGAAGAATTCATATCAGAGCCAATACCGGAGCCCATTGTTCCTAGCTTATTCTCTTACTAGATCACATCGCCCTTCTTACACGCTCCTTGACATCCTTGTTTTAAATTCTACCCGTTTCTACCAGGGTGAATTAGTGTATGTGAATTATGGTCGCACTGAGGACTTCTTTAAGCTAGAACGTGAAATGGGAATCAACTGTACCGGAAAGATTGTAATCGCTAGATATGGCAGGATCTTCAGAGGAAATAAGGTAACGCATCTATGTAAAAATCTTTCTCGTGCTGTCTTCTAACAGATTCCAAAAGGCTGAAATTCTTACCTCTGGAGATTTTAGTGTAATTGAGCTTTTCATAGAGCTGTGTTCAAAGATGATTCTTGAGTAGGAAATTAAAATATATGTTCAATATATATATATATTACATCTAAAAGTAAATAATTTGAAAAATTATGTGTAGTTTTATATTCATCTACATACTATAAATTGTTCCAAATGTTACTAATGTTTTTAGGCAACGTGCTCTAAGTAGCCTATTCTTCTCTATTGGTTCAGCTGTGCTTTAAAACACCTATCCTGCGTTTCTTTATAAAGGTTTCTCTACACTATGCAGAGATCAGTCTGTAGGGAGGTTATTTAAAACTCTCTGTATATTTATTCCTGTCCCTATCTCACAAATATTTTTAAACTATACATTTCTGTAGACATCTGTGGCCTGACAGGAAAGTCATGCACTTACTTCAAGCATGTACGCAAGTGCTTTTCTCAATAGGGATGTCAACAGACAGTCTGCTGTAAGTGTATTTGGCTTTTTTTTTGACCGTGATTTGGGCAGGACTATATTTTATATTTCTCTGTTACTTCAGAGGGCCAAACACTGAATCTCCTCTTTAGAATACGTAATCTTATTATATGTTCTTAACTAATGTTCCCTTTGAATGGATAGCTCATTGATTTACATATATGCCATTTTCTCCTGGGAAAAATATGACTCGTACTCTGGGTCAGCTAATATTTTCACTAAATTGTTCATAAGTTACCATCTTTAAAGATACTATCTGAATGGAAAAGACTATACAATCTGGAGAAATATACTTTCATTTAGATATCTTAGTGGTGTGGAAGAACAGGATGGAGGTTAAAGACAAGTACTATATTTCCTAGAAAAGCTGTAATAACTCTGGAATAAAATACCCAAAATTAAAACTGTTTTGAGGATTAATTACCACTCACACACTATGCAGCACTGTCCTACCTAGTAGGAAAATAAATTAGGATGTCAGAATGACCTATGTATCAGAATACTGTCTCTCTTTACCTCCATCAATCAGGATTGCACTAATACAGTTTGCCATTAACATGAGTATGAGAACGCTTTCCTTTATCAAAACAGCATGCAGATTAGTCCTTCTGCCTTTATAAGCATGTGCAGTCTTTGGCATTAGGCTTATTTGCAAACAAATGGCAGTTTCAAGCTCTCTAGTAATATATCTTTCTGTGTAGTCCAAGCCCTGAGATACATTCAAGAGATCGTCTAGGTAAATACGTGACTAGCTGAAAGATAGGGTTACATCAGTGTTTATGACAGAGTTTTTTCAACACATGATGTATACATTTTAATGGTCAGGTAATAGCTTTGATCTGGATGACAGAATACAAATTCAGTTTATGGAGTAACACACTGGAGCATGGTTTCCATGTTACTGCAGTTACTTCCCAACGAAAACTCAAGAAACAGAAGATCTCTTAACGATCATACGGAACCCAGTATCTGCGTATGTATTTCCAGGAAATTACATGGTATGAGACAGGTATGGGCCAGATTTTTAATTCCTATAACAATTCCTTTACCTAGCCCAAGCAGTGTAAGAGGCTTTGAGGAATAATCATTGTAGTTTACAATACTTTCTTTTGCCCCTTGAGCGCTGTGTCAAGGTATAAGGGACTGAATGGGACCGGAGATCTGCTTTGCAGGTGAAGAATGCTGAACTGGCAGGTGCTAAGGGAGTCATTCTGTACTCTGACCCTGCTGACTACTGTGCCCCAGGAGTAAATCCCTATCCAACTGGCTGGAACCTGCCAGGTGGAGGAGCTCAGCGTGGAAACGTATTAAACCTGAATGGGGCAGGGGATCCTCTGACACCAGGCTATCCTGCGAAGGGTGAGTGACAGTGAAGAAGTCATTCTCTGAGGGTCTGGTTTCAGAAGGGATTGAGGAGGGTGACAAGGATGTTCTTTCCCGTGGGAACAAAATACATCTTTTCTTATTTTTTCTGTTGCTCAACGGAGGCAGCTTTGGGCTTCACCTCATCAGGGCACTTCTGCAAATGGTACATAAGAGAAAGTGAGGGGAAGTTAAGAGAGCCCCTTTGTGCAGCACTGGGCTGTATAACTTCACAGACTTACACAAGTTCACTCTCGTACATAACCCAGAGATGATGACACAAGTGTTCAACAGTTGATATACTAGTTTTTATTTCTGCTTCACATCAGCAAGCCAGCCAAGAGCCAGCCTGCACAGCTTCCAGGTTTCTTTGTTTCTGCAGTTCCCCTTTCTGCAAGTGGGGGCTGCTTACCCTCCACAAGGGGCCCCACCAGCAACGCTAGGTCTTCCACACTGAGATTGGTCAGCTGCCTGCAGATGAAGCTCCTGAGATTACCATTCCCTGCTGGTTCATCACCTTCACCTCATGCTGCCTCAGCTGTTCATTTGAGGTCTGCCTAAGACATTTCATTTAACACTCAGTCCACCTCATTTTTGACTGAAATATGGTAAGGACCACTCACAATAGGACCTGAGCCAGCATGTCTGAAGGAGGTAGTCACCTCAAGAAGAGTAATGCCTAAGTAATGGGGAAAGTTTTGTCTTTGACCGGTACAACTTGAGCTGGAAGAAGATATCTGTCCACAGTTGCGGCGTAGCAGCAATAGACCATGGTGATGATTTCTAGTTCCTCGTACTAGATCCAATGAATTTCTTTTCATCTCTGATTGATGAATCTCTGTCTGCCTCCCACAACAAGGGTCCCTCTAAATGCTATATAAGGAAGAAACTCCATTTTTTCCACATCAGCTAGAGAAATAGCTTTCAAATGTCAATTTTTGCCCATCCTGTGAAAATTAAGATTCTGTTTTGTAAAAAAAAAAAAAAAATGTATTTGAACTCTTGACAAGACAAAACCTAGACTTTTTTTTTTCTTCATGAAAACAAGACGAGAACAGAATATTCGGTTGCTGAGTACATAAGATTTTATCTACCTCTCTTATCAACTGGCAAAATTTTTCAGTTCCCAGCTGAACGTTCCAAGCATCAGACTACTGGCTCTCTCTTTACTCTTATTCTAGCTCTTTGGCTTTATCCAAAGTCCCTTTATATTAAAAGAAGTATTTCTACCCCAAAGCATTTCAACCTAAAAATAAAGAATAAATTTGAAAATTTCCAGGCGGCTCTGGATGTATGACTGCAGACACTAATGGGAGAATTTTTTATTAGTGTCTCTCTGAAAACATGTTGATGAGGCATAAAAATGAAATCACTGAGGAAATGTCAGCCCATTTTCTAGGAAAATGAAATAATCATTGTTGACGCCTGTGTTAGAACTGTGCTATGAATTGTACAAATTCCTTCTGAGAGTTGTAAGTATATCTTTCTTCTGTCTTCAGAATACACCTACCGATTAGACAAAGCCAGTGGTATAGGTCTCCCAAAAATTCCAGTTCATCCCATTGGTTATCATGATGCTGAGTTACTACTGCGGTAAGTATGTAGGAGACATTGGGAATTTTAAATAGATTTCTTTGTGAAAGTCCTAAAAGTATTTGAAAAGAAGAGGAAAAGACTTTTGCACTTTTCTGCTAGTTTAGTTGCTGAAATAGTACATTCATTTACAATTAGGATCTCCATAAGAGGTAAACATATTCTAGTATCTGTTACTATATATTTGATGTGTGCTGAGTGATCTAGAAAGGATCATTATCATGATCAATCAAATATTTTACTGAAGTTATATACTGTGTTTTAGTTTAAATAAAGACGATGATTTGTGGGGTTGCCATAATACTCATCTTATGAAAAAGACCACCAATAAAATCCTTCATTTGTCCAGCAAATATTTATCATTCATGTTTTATGGTACAGGACCTGTACTTTGTTCTCCGTTATATGAACGCATGTGCTCTCTCAAACTAAGATAAGAACCCCTGCGAAACTCTGGAATGTTACAGGGAATTTAATAGAGCTCTACAAAGTGTACTTATTAAATATGCCAGTGACAAGAAGACAGGCTGGCAGCTTGCCAGATGACAGCAATAAAATTTGTAGTGATCTTAACAAACCAAATAAATTGTCTGAAAAAACTCAGATTCAATTGAGTGGCAAGTGCCGCATTCCCCTCGCGTGCAGGAATGATTTTTTGTATCATTAGCTGCACAGAGTGGGGGATACCAGGGCTGGTAACAGTACCACAGTTCAGGACAACAGGTGAACATAATAGCGGGTGTGTATTTGTAGAGGAGCTTATATCTAAGTCACCTGATAAATCATTTTGCTCTGTCTGATGCCTCTGTGGGAATATTGAGTCCGATTTTGGGCACTTCATCAAAAAAGATACGGACCAATTTACCAGAATTTGTACTATAGTAGACAGACTGAGTAAAGGTTTAGAAAGCACAGAGAAAGAGAAGGCTGAGCCATTGGTGGTTGTTTAGTCTAGGAGAAAGAAACGGAAGGGAAATGTAATGAGAGTCCTCACATCTGAAACAGGTAGATGTAGAGAGGAGAGGAATAAACACCTACTTATTACCACTGAGGGTAAGATATAAAGTGGAAAACACCATGTACAATTCAGGTGGTATTCAGGTAATTCAGGTATGGACTTTTCAGTTTAAATGTAATGAAAAACCTGAAGTTCCCAAATAGATTGTCTGGGGAAGCTGTGAAGCCTCTGTTGGTTGGAGTTTAAGAATAAGTCAGGCGAACCTCCTTCATGAATGGATGGATGGTACATAGGTGAAGTACATAGGTGAAATAGACTTCTCACTGCTCCACAACTTTTTCTCCCTGTTTCATTCATTCTATCAAATTCTTCTGTTCTTGTAAGATGCAAGACTACTTCTACGGTCTGTGACACAGAGACAGCGATAGCTGCCTTAACTAGAAAGACAGTTTATAAAACAGTCCATCAGTATGCTTATTCCTGAAACCTGATACTGAGATAGCTTTAACAATGTGATTTTTCCTTTCAGATTTTTGAATGATGTGAAACAGTGCTATTATTAAACTATAGTATAGGCTTCTGAACCATACTGCCAAGCATTATTGTCACAAGTCCTAATCCCGAAGACAACCAGTTCCATTGAACTCACAACAGTAATAGCATGCATTAAGTTAATTTGAAATTTAAAAACAATCCCAGGTCTAAAGATACATCTATGTAGTAATAGGTGCACACTAGACATGTGCAGATTAAATCCAGAAATCCTACGAAAACAAAAACAGTAATCTTAAAAACGAGCACACTTAGCGTGGTGGTACATCAGGGATTGCTCTAATGAGTAGTAGTGAAGGGAACACTATATGCGGTACATATTCTCCAGTCTTCTGGTTCCCTGCTTCACAAAACGTACTTTCTCCTTTCTTTTTTTCAACTTTGCAGAAAGCTTAATATGAGCCAGAAGACAAACTAGTGTTCTGTGTTGATGCCAGAAAGCTTGTTCACAAATACCTTGGCATGAGCATTTGAGAAACAGGAACATTACAGATCTTATTCACAATGCTGACATGAGTGTTCTGAAGTGCTGAGGTATTATTACATGTTGAACTCACCTTTGCTCACATGTGGCTGTATCTCCCAAGTGGTATGAATTGCAATAGAAGTATTAAAGTGTTCTTTTCTTCTGGGGGTAAGGGATGGCAGGGAAAAGTAAAGAAAAACAATTATCTGTTATGAATTAACAGGTTAACATCTCTTTTTTATTTCCTCTACTTAAGCAGAATTTTAGCCTTAAGACCTAGTACCTCAAAAGTGTTTGGGCATTCCAGGCAGAATTTAGGTAGGTTGCTCTTATTTTACTGGCTCACAAAAACTTCTCCTAACCGCTTAGTTGCAACAGCATTCAGAAGTTTAACAATTTTTGCCTCAAACCTTATTTTAGGCACTTTAGTGTGTGTTACTTTGTATGCACACATATATATCCGTCTGAAGAAATGTATTTGGTACAAAGTCTTAGAGGCTGCTGAATCTAGTAGCCTGATAGATGTGAGGCTGCTGTGGCCCTGGGTCACCAGGTTCAACAAGTGGCAAGGCTGAGCATATATTCCAAATAGGCACACACACACATGCCCACACACAGCCAACCACACAGATCAACACAAATAGAAAATAGTGTCTTACCAGCACTCGCATAAACCTGCGGCACTCACACAAACATTAACAGCATGGACAACCCAATCCTGCTTGTCCCCCCTGGCTAATCAGAATTGAAGTCTGCTAGTGGAATGTATGTATATATATACACATATGTATCCACACACACAGTATGCATCACTCCAGTAGCTACCCTTAGACACTCAGTCTGTCCAGTAGCTGGCCCTAAAGCCTCTGTTCGCTCCAGTTGCTGGCACCTGGACGTATGAGTTCCCAAGGTTTGCAGCCCCACTCCGGTTGCTAGTATTCAAACTACTTCTTATAACACACACAGAAACACAAACAGGTCTATTTGGTAGCTGGTCCAGACCTATGGTCTGCTCAGTAGCAGGTACTTGGACCCTCTGGTCTCTCCAGTAGCTGTCTCTCAGACCTGTGGTATCTCCACTAGTTCGCTCCTAGACCTATTATCCTACTCACCAGCTACTCTGTCTTGAAGTTTGCTAGCGAATTACACGTGCCTACTTGTGCAAATACAGGATTGAAGTTCCCAAGGAAACACACAGTCCCAGCCTCTCCAGTTGCTGGCCCCCAGACTTACAGGTCCCTTTGACTTGTGGCCCCTTCTCCAGTTGCTTTTCGGCTTCTCACCATGCACATAAACATAGATTAGAGAGCACCCCTCCAGGAAACTACTTAGGAATATAATTTAATAAAAAGATAGGACAGATTGTGGTGATCAGGCACAGGGCATGGACAGACAAGCGCACTCACCAGCCAACTGTTTACACTTGGCTGGACCATTTCTCTTCTATTTTCCCATGTTTGTTCCTGCCCAAGCCACTCTGATCCCTCCCTTTCCTTGCCTTTCCCCCTTTCTCAAAACAGCCATAATGTCTCACACATCAGCACAGTTCCCTTAAAACATAGATTTTACACAGTACCAGAAAGTTCTTCCCTGCATATCATAATAAGCCTTGTTCCCCTTTAGGCAGTAACTGTCTTCATCTACAAGGTATTCCGGAGAGAGTTTCTCTGGTTGCCTCATCTTGGTGGGTTTCACACCAATGGCAATGGGTTGATCGGTCCCCTATGATGGTTTTAGGAGCAGGCCATTCAGGGTACTCTGTTTTCACTGATTACCTTGTCCGTCATTGTTCTTCTGATCCTTACCATCCTTTCTGGGCCTTTGTATTCATGGTAACTAGTCTTTAATTATATAACCTACCACAATGAACAGCTCCTTCCTCAGATCATCTTTCTGGTCCTGTCTTACTTTGGAAGTTGGAGATCCTTTGACCCTGGGGGTAAGTGATCCACAGAGAACTTAACGCTTTTCAGGAGAGTTCCCTAACTGTCGGGCTGGGGTGGGCTAGTGAATAGCTAGAGTGCAAGATTCATAGAAGTGGAAAGAGAATAGGTGATAGACAGCCTAAGTCTTTCTTCTGATGAGAGGGCTAGGTAGTGGTCTAGTCTCTGACCGTATATTATTTCGTATTGTATCCAGTACATTTAATGCAAAATACATAATTAGCCATGGAAAAGGTTCCAGAAGTAGAGAGAGGCATGGGACCACTGAATAGCTTCTCCTCTTCCTTCCCCATATTTTAAAAAAAACAGTGAGTCAGTTTTCTATATTGCCTGGGATGATTTAGGTGTTTAAGTTATCTCTCCTCTCTCTGATGCTACCTTTTTGAATCCATATGCAGCATGTTGTCAATCTATTTTGGAGATGTCTAGCTTTGCCCCATGCATTCCATAGCAAAATGCAGGTACCTCGTTGATCTCTGTGGACAGTACTGGGAGCGGTGCCTAAAAGTCCTTTTGCAAATTTTGGCTAAAATATTAAAGGTGTCTAAGTCTTACTTATTTTCAGGACTTTCATCTCCTTTACCACTGAACATTCTTTGGTTCTTCAGTAGATGGAAAGGTTTCTTCCCTGGTGGAGGGCACATATAATTCCTATTTGCTGAGGGAGTAATCTGAACACTTCAATTTTTTAGCATCTAAATCAGCTGGTACACTCAATAAATAAATTTACCTGTCATTAAAGTAAAGTTTGTGTATCTGCAGAAATATAAAATGTATGATAATTCCAGGGAATGTGGGTAAAATTGCCTGTTTCAGGTTTACTTATAGCAGTGCTTTGCATTGCTTTAGACTTTCATTCTGGGAAAGGAAATTCTGCCCTAGTTCTATATGCAGGTTTTCCTCTGAAGTAAATTGAAGCTACTTGTTTGCATATAAGGCAGAATTTTAATGTCTTTGATGTCTTTTCATGCCTTGTGTTAAATTAACACTGTAACACACATATCCTCCCAACCTTTTTGGACTAATACATCTCCAAACTATCTTTTCTTCAAAACTTTACACTCATCATTGTTAGGAGGATAATTGCTCATAATAATAAAAGTATTAGTTTAAAAAAGTCTTTTTTCCACAGCCAACTAGTAGTTGTATAGGAGATTAATATGTATAACTATGGTATAACTAGCTAGCTCTCTTTAATCCTCTAAATGGTAAATAATTATAGAACTTGAATTTCAGAATTATGAGTGAAATATAAGAAATTTCAGAATTATGAGTGAAATATAAGAAAGATACTGGGTTCTTGCTTTCACTTTTGTCTTGAGAAGTTATAACTTCTAGTTTTTCATTCTGTCCTATTCTTGCATAAAAACGTACTGAGGGCTTGAAGACATGCTGAAATGTTCTGTGAAACAAGCTTGACTGAAGAATGTATTTGCAGTAAAGGACTTGCTTCTCCTTGCAATAAAGGCGTTTTACCTAATAATAACCAGAATGTCTAGCATACCTTTTAATATTTTTTCTTTATATCCCTCACAAGTTCACATCAAAAATGTAAATCCTTTAGAGTAGGTGAGTAAGTATGAGCTGATTCTGATCCACTGAGTTTCCAGCTAGGTAACTGAGAAAAAAGTTTACATTTGACAATGGAACAGGAACAGATGACTTTAACCAACTGACCATGTTTCTCCAAATTTAGAGGTCTTTAAAATACATCAACTGTATTTATGCTAGCAGATTAAACTGGCCAGAGACAGGCACTGAAACACAATTATCTGTACTGGTAAACTGTTAGAAGGATTCCTGAGATGTTTTTGTTCTGTGCCAAGTAACACTGTCCTGAATGAACTGCAAACGCAGTTCAAGGAATTTAAAGATTCCATAGACCATTTACGAGAGATAGTTTGTATGCAAAACCTTTGATGGCTGAGAGAGTATTCCAACATAGGAGTAGGTTGTTCCATGAACAGGTGGCCTCAGTGCCCAGGACCATTCCTGTACCTGTTTAATTTGCTAGTGTTTATGTAGCTAAAAACATGGATAATTCTCCCGTGGAAGCTTATAGTGCAAACTTTCCAAGACAAAGACCATAATTTTGGTCTATTTTGTACAGGACCTAAAAAAGTGGGGTCCTGGTTCCTCACTTGTGCTTCGTCTCTTGCAAGATGCCTGTAACTGATACTAATGTATTTTTTTTTCATACTAGTAACATGGGAGGGCCTGCACCACCACATAATAGCTGGAAAGGAGGTTTGAATGTATCTTACAACATTGGTCCTGGTTTCACAGCAAATTATTCTACAAGGTCGGTTTTTCTTCAAAAGAAAAATGTGTTCATGATTAGGGAAGTAGAGCTATAGCAACAGAGTATGACCAAAAGTAGAACAGTTGGGGTTATTTGAATCTTCCTTTTGATTCTGACTGTTTCCTGTGCTGAGGTGAACTCAGTGCAAAGCTTTAGCAGATTTACATCTGATTGGATGGATATGTATGAATTGCTTTAGTTTCAAGCTAATCTTGAAACAGCTTCATTTGGAAAGTTTCTAGACTTCGACAAACTCTGTGATGAGCCTGGATATTTTTTGAGAACTGAATTTGGTTTGTAGTCTTCTTTTAGTTCATGTGGGTCCAGTTTTTGGTCATAACTATTGCCTTATATAAAACAATATTAATCTACAAGTTGGGTTTTCCAGAAAAAATGTTCTAACAGTAATGTAATATTTTTTTGTTTCAGACTGTGTTTAAACTGGTTTAATGATTACAGTTTAGGACTGATGTTCAGCTGTTTCAATATTGGCTGGTGTGATATTGACTTCATGTGAACTATTTGAACTTTTCTCGTTCTTAGTCAAACCACATGCAAATTTTTTTCTGAAAAATATGCAGCCAGTACTTGAGAATGAATTGTTGAACCTCAAGCTATGTTGTAGATAAACAAACAAAAGTCTCTAATGCAACTCAAGCCTTGTGATTTTCTGATTCTTGAGATGTCAGACCAGCAGTGACTGTGCTGGAGTCAATTCTGATTTACACCAACTTCTGGATGATTAGAACTTTTTATCTTTTTAGCATTAGATGATTTTTATTTTTCTTTTACTCTCCCAAATTTAAAAATAATCTGCTAGCAAAATAATGTTTTTCAGTTTGGAGCTCTGAGCTTGTTATCCAGTGTAAATCTTACTGACATCAATAACAATAGATAGCTGTCAAGGGCCAAATGCTGATCTCAGTTACACAAGTATAAATCCAGACAAACTACAGTCGAATCTTTTCAGATTTGCTCTGGTTTAATGGCGAGTAAATTTGACCAAAATTCTTTCATTACAAACAATTTTTATTATACACTTTTAAAAAGTATCAGTTGTTTTATTCACTGGATTTTCACTTTGGATTTCTTTCTAATATACTAGAAAGGTGAAAATACACATTCATAGTAACAACAAAGTAACAAGGATTTACAATGTGATCGGAACCATCAGAGGCACAATGGAACCAGGTAAAGTCATTTGTCTTTGGTGTTCTGTGGGTGTGCAGTGACCTCTAGATGCACCTAGTAATAGTTACAAGGGAGCAATGAGGAAGGGAGTTTTCTCTGAGATACTGAGCTACATGAGCGTTTCTATTGAAATATTTATTGCACCGGTTTTCGTGTCATTCAGGGCACATCAGCACTTTCATTATCGATTCTGATTTTCAAGAGAGAGTCATAACCCAGACAGAAATGTTTGTCTTCAGGCAAGTAACTTTACAACTGAAAGAACATTCTTAAGTGGATATTTTTCCTTGTTAATTTGGAGTAGTATTATGAGCTGTAAGAGTTCAAAAAACAAATGGAGAATAGCAGAAGTTTGTAAAGATTTTGCATTCTATCTGAAGATATAATTTCCACCATTATTGATTTGTTGATTGTCTTATAATCTCTTGTAATCAGTGATCTTTACACCTCCAAAAAAACAGACCTACAGACATCTCTAGGATGATAACATCATTTAATCTATGACTGCAACATTGCCTGTTGCCTGAAACACAGCCGTTCACCGTACTGTAATCACCAAGATCTAGTCTGTTTTTTATCATATTAATCAAATGTCCATCATATTTTTGACAACTTTTTTATAACTGGCTGTGTATTATATTCAGAGAAATACTGCCTTCAGCATACTTCAGTGTTGCAAGTTGACATGGTGAACAAATATAATTAGATTGTCACCTCTACCATGAAACATTCTATTGTAAAATGTGACAGGATGTTTCTGTCTTCAGAGAAAAGTTATATTTCTAATAATAGAAGTAACATTGTGGCACTGGAATTTAGACTATTTTAGGTCTCATGGGATCAAGTTACTGCGTTTGAAAAGTTCTTTAACATTGACTTAAAATGGAGGAAAATGTCTTTGGAGTTTTAAAATGTCTTTTGCCATTCCATTATGTATATTATAAACTTGTTTGTTATCTGACACCTACGTAGACTATTAGATATTGTTTTCCATTAACATTACTGTGACAGGATTTTTTTTTTTTAATAAACATTCTTTAAAATAAATTATTTCTTTAAATAAAACTTCATAATTATTTCTCTAGACAGGTATGTCATCCTAGGAGGCCACCGTGACTCTTGGGTATTTGGTGGCATTGATCCTCAAAGTGGGGCAGCTGTGGTTCATGAGATTGTGAGGAGCTTTGGAAAACTGAAAAAGGAAGGTAATATGATGAAAGAATAAAGCATGCCAAAACACTGCTCTCAGCTGTGCACATTGATTTTTCTGGTATTTGAGCATATGCTTAAATACATACTTACATAATCTACAAAATCTGCTCTTAGCTGTGCACATTGATTTTTCTGGTATTTGAGCATATACTTAAATACATGCTCGTATGGTCTGCAAAATCGAGGCCTTGAAATGAAAATTTAGATATTTACTATAATTATCACTAATAAGTTTATAACTATTGTATGCATCATATCCAATAGTGTATCTCACTGATCTCTGGAACAGCACAGTGTTCTGCAGCTCTTAATTACAGTTCTAGTTATAACCTTGGTATCTGTGAGGTGGTTCTGCTGAAGAGAAAGTATATTTGAAGGAAAACAAAATACAGCACGGAAGATATGGGTAGGATAATGAAATAAATGTGATATTCAGGTATAATTGGTTACTGTGTATTTGAGGCTGGTCAAACTGCATACTTCAATGGTCCTTTGAAACTGATATCTTGGCAGACTGAGGCTTCAGAAGAGCAACATTCAGAGCCTCCTGATCATTTGAATGTGCTTTGGAGATAGACCTCAGAACAAGTGAAGCATATCTGTGTTGTGCAGAAAATGAGCTGTGTAAACATAGTGGGAAATAATAGTTAAAATACCTGTTACCTAACTATATTAGAAGAGGGTCAAATGTCAACTGCACCAGGTTTCTGCTGTCAGAGCAAATGCTTTCTTCCCATCGGACATGCCATGGAACGAAGCTCTGATACGACTCAAACAGTGTGCTGCAGGAGCTTTCTTTGCCCACCTACTGCATTTAAAAGCTATTGGAATTTAATTTTCTTTCCATCCCCATCCTGTTATTGGATATCGTGGGAAACAGTGTCTGTGGAAACGAAGTTGAAAAGGAAAAAGAAGAAAAAAAAGAGGAGCAAAAGATGAAAAGGCCCTGATAGCCTCAAAGAAAACGGAGCAAAGATAGAGATGCAGGGTAATATAGCCAGTTCCTTTGTTTAATCTGGGTTTAATCAAATGCAGAACTTTAAATGAAAGATCTTCACTTGGAATGTGATCTGTCACATTTACAGGGAATTTCTTCAGATTTTGAAACCCAGCATTTGGGAAACAGGTCACATAAGTGCACTAATAGAAATGAAATATATCAAAACACCTTCTTCTGTTAGAATAGACCTCAATTTAAAATGTATACTGGGTTGAACCGAATAAAAAGAGCAGAAAAGAATTCTTTCAAGAATTCACACATAGGTACATACTTTTTATTTTGTGCATAGTATTGAATTCTAGAAAATTTCATTACCACTAAAGCTGAGAGAAGAAAAAGAATGTTGTATTTGGCCTAATATTGCAAATATTGTAGTAGATTTGAGATCTCAAAAAAATTAGTAAAGCATTGTTAGATTACATTAGTGAAGGACTTGATGTTCCATAAACATTCTTCTTTCTCCACAGATCAGGATAAGAGATGAGGCCACCAAACCTGATATTTTTTTTTCATGTTCGTTATCAGTATGTACCAGGCAGTCTCTATTTCTGTAATATATTTTTATTGTATTTTATTGCAGGATGGAGGCCAAGGAGAACAGTGCTGTTTGCAAGCTGGGATGCAGAGGAATTTGGCTTGTTAGGATCAACAGAGTGGGCTGAGGTAAACCAATAAGCGTTCAAAGCAAAATTTTTACAGTGACAGATCTTTGAGAAATCTGTACCAGAGAGGTATGTTCAGCTTGCTTACTCAATCACTCTTTCTCTCATTTTCTCTCTTTCTCTTTCTTTCTCTCTCACTCTCTCTCTTTCTCTTACACATATGCACACACACACACACACGCACACACACACGCACGCACACACACACACACACACACACACACACACACACACGAGTTTCCTTACTGAATAGCAAAATATGTATGACTGCTTACAGGAGGTTATTGGATGTCTTTCTCTGAAACAGCTGTTATTTACTCCTGTGAATGTGAAAATAGTTTTGAGGAAAAAAATTCCATCAACATTTTCTTCCTCTTCTCATAGGAAAATGCCAAAGTATTACAATCACGAGGAGTGGCTTATATCAATGCAGATTCCTCCGTGGAAGGTATGTAGTGTTGACTTACATTTTACAGAAATAGTGATGGTATATACAGATGACTGTGAGTCATTTTGCCTTGGGGATCTATGAAAACTTCAACATAATATTATTGCATTAGTCCAGGAGTACATATGCAGGGAAACAATGACCCAGAGTCATAAGTATCCTTCAGATATTTCCTGTTACTTAGAGGAAGTGGTGCATCACAATAACTACGCCATTTGGGAAGCTGTGAGGAGAGGGAGAACAAAGGCTGTACCCCTGTCAGCACCTCTGTAAAATCTATAGAGTTAGGTTCTCCTCTCATGTTGTGGGTTATCAGCGTAAGGGTTCCTTCAAAAGCTGGACTGTAATCCATCCTAAACCAGTACAAATGCACTGACTACATTACATCAGGAGAACATCAGGAGAACCGTTCTACATGGAGGAGAATCAGCTTTTTCCTGGTAGTGTGTGTGTATCTCTAAGTCCCCTTCTTACTTACAAATAATGGCACAAGGCCTCAAATGAGTAGAAATTGCTTCCTAATCTAACTAATTTTTCTTGTTTTTCAGGAAACTACACACTAAGAGTAGATTGTACACCACTGATGTACAGACTGGTATACAGTCTGACCAAAGAGGTAATATTACTTGAAGCTGTCAGCCTGCCATATGAAATTCTGTTTATCTGTTCCAACTGCCTCCTGCTTATATGTGGCATGAATGAATCACGTCTATGAAATGAGTGCAGAAGCAGGCATTTTTCTGAGTACTTGGTTCCAACAGGGATATTCAGTGCTCACTTATTGGATGTGGTTCTGTGTATAAACGTGATGTTAGATGTTACTTCCTTTTTAAGTTAACAGCCAAGTAATTGGAGCTTTTTTCCAGGGGCGGCAAAGGTATTTCAGGCTTCTACCGATAAATTACCAGCTATTCAGGATAAGGGTATTTTTCCACTTCTCCTGTGAAAGCTTTACTCCTGAGTAGAGAAGAACAAAAAAATTCCATGAGCCAGAGAATCCGAACAAGCACAAACTAGGTGGTCCAGTCCAGCTACCAGGATGCCCGTGGTGGTAGAAGGATCTGACTTCCTTTAGGCGGAGGAGGAAGTCAGGCTTGCTACAGTGTTGTGTTTAACATGATGTGACAGATTTGGTCAAAGTGTTGAGTCATTGGCCGTGATCCTGATGCTCTCATGCGTATTTATTTGGCACATAAAATTGAAAGATTAAACCTTCCTCAGCAGATAGCCTCACTGTCTTACGTGTAAGGTGCTCCTTGCTGTAAGAGTAGATCTTAGAGGCTGGTACTAATAAGCCTTTTAATTTGGCATTTTCTTCAGTCTTCCAATCCTTATTGAAGGCATCTGTTCAGAAACATGTAATTCACGTTCTGTGTGTGTGTGTCTTATATATCTCTATATGTATAAATATATGTATTTATCTTCAATTACTCTGCGTGTCCTTTGTATCTACTGTCTCTGTGTTCATCTGCTGTATATATTCACCCATCTGTCTTTTCCAAGGTCAATAACTTGTTATTTCTTGGAAGCTGCTGTTAGCCTGATTCAAAAGTAAAGGAGCTTTAAAGATTCAAAATAATCACTTTTCACAATTGGAAAACAATAAATATAATTTAAATCTGTTAAAATTAGGTGCCCAGCTAAAGGTGTTTCTGTCTTGAGCTGCAGAAGTGCTGATCACCTGCAGTTCCCATAGTAACCAATGTCAAGTGCAGGCGTTCAGAACTGTCAGAAAATCAGGCCTGCAGAGTCTCAATTTGGGCACCAAGAATCATTGTTAAAATGTTGACCTAAATACCAGTAAGCATGGTTGCATAACCCTTCCTAGAGCTAAGGAGCAGTGACAAAAGGCTGGCAAATGCATGTTACCACGCTCTGTTGGTAGCTAGTATCTGCCAAGAATGCTGGTCAGGAAGCAGGCCCTTCATGATCCTGCCCTAAACTAATCTGTGGCAAAATGCATTAACACTGTTCTGTGAAAAATTAGCTTCACTTAGAAAAAATGATAGTACTTCACCTGCCTGTCAATAAAGAAGACAGAAGAAAAAATACCTGCAGTGTTTATTCTGCTCAATAATCTAAAGAATTATTTGAAAATAGTGGTAGGAATGAACTTTATTGTGATGATGATTTTTATATCTCAATAGCAGCTATACTGACTACTGTAAGACTATTCCACACTTTGCTCTTCTAAGATAACTACTGAATCCATGAAAATCTTTGCCTGAACTAAAAAAGAGGAGAATCAGTTTTGAATTAACTAAAGACAAAATTGTTTCAGTTTTTCTGCCAAAGTGAAACAAGAAGTTTTCTTTTTGTGGCTTTTTACATGTTGAATATTTGAATTGAATTGCTGGAAATCTCATAATGAATAATCAGAATGTTTCATTTTGGAAATGCTAATTGGAAATATTTTGCTTTTCCTGTGTTTTTTTACCGTCTAAAACTACGTATTTTTAGCAAAAAATTGATTCCTCTGAAAAACGCTGTGCATTTGAAATGTTTAAAGAGAAATGCAGAAGGGCTGAGACACTTAAGTTTATGACCGAGTCATTGCTCTAAGCTGTAGGCTTGAAATGATGGCAGGGTGTAGATTTGTTGCTTGGTAGTATTTTCGGTTGTACCTTTTGTCTTTCTTTCCAATATATTTTTTCTAGATACCAAGTCCTGATGAGGGATTTGAAGGCAAATCTCTATATGAGAGCTGGTATAAAAAAAACCCATCAAGAGAATATAAAGAGGTCCCCAGGTCAGTAACAGAAGAAATAAAGTATATGCCAGAAGTTATTGTAGCTTACAGAGTGTGTTTTTTTAAAAAAATATCCACTTGAAAAGTTGAGTACTTGAAAGAAACAGTGAGATTCTCAGCTTATATAAATTTCAAAGTTTTGTTGATTGCAGTCGAGCTACAGTATTGTACAACAATTTTGTGAAATTGCCTTTGTAGCGTGAACAGGAGACTTTGTGTATGAAAGCAAAGTGTTAATGTAGTTTATAAAGATTTAGACACATCAGGGTAGTAGGCACAAACCAGTGTCAGGCACACAAGACATTAACACAGCAGCTTTCTCTTGCACTTGCTTCTGGTCTCCTGGAAGGCCTCTGATTTTGAGTAGTTTAGGAGCATACAAGGCAGGTGTTTACAACACTGTCCTTCAAAATTACCAGGAGTCCTCTACACAGTCTTGAAGACTGATTCTCTTATAGGAAGTCATGCTGGTGGTGTTGTGTTTTCTCCGAGCTGAGAGCCTGTGGATGATGGAAGTCAGGAGAAGGAAGGTCATTGGGTCTTTTCAGTGATGAAAGATAGTGATTCAAATTGTCCTCTTGAGTTTTTGATTTCTCTGCAACAAGTCTAGCCTTCTGAGAATATGACAGTAAGACGTGCATGTAATGTAGGTGTCGTAGGCAATTTATGGAACTGACAGGAAAAGCATGCTAGGGAAAGACGGTGTAGTGACTGAGGATAGAGAATAAATAACTTACTACGGTACTTGGAAACATACTAAAAATTAAACTATAAGTATTGTCATTCAAGGCATTTTCCTCTTTTTTGTTAAAGAATAAATAAACTGGGTTCTGGCAATGACTTTGAGGTCTTTTTTCAACGGCTTGGCATCGCTTCTGGCAGAGCACGTTACAGTAAAAACTGGGTAAGGCTATGTCTTTGTAATTATGTTTCCCATGCAACAGTCTAAATAATGTCAACTGTAATTCAGCTGTTCAGACTGCCAGCTTTTGGGAACAGGAGTATAATTGTTGGTTCTGTTTAGTGTGCCAGAGTGGAGTCGCAGCTCATTAGCAGAACTCACGTACTACTAAAACACAATTATTTAATGAATCGGAATAATGGTAAACTTGGTGTCAGTCAAACAGAAATAAAAGGACCTTTGCTTAGAGTACATGGATGTACTCAGAACTTTCTATGGCTAGTGAAGGCTTATGTGTGCCTTATGATATCTTAAGAAGAATTAATGACTTAAGAAGAATTACGAAGCTTTGAATTTTTTTTTTGGGGGGGGGGGAAGATAAGTTTGACTCTGCAGCATGCAATGAGATGAGACCAATTCAGAAGTGTATGAGGGGCAATCTATTAAATGAGAGCTTTTCTTTTGAAAAGGCATATCCAAAGACACGGATAAAAATGACTGTTGAGAGTCATTCAAAGAGAGGAGGAACAACCACCTAAATTTAGCCAACTAAAAGTTACGTGTCTGTTTTAGCTACTTACCTAGGCCGTGTACCTGTTCAGTAGAGAGTGACCTCTCCAAAGCACAGTTAACCTCATCATAAGGTCAATGTCTAAGAGAGTCATCACTGAGCAGTTCTTCTCATTCAACTTTTTGTAGTGGCTAGAGAGGACTAGTGTGACTTGAACACTTAACTTTACAGTGCCTTGAATTTCACAGCATAGGTTTTCAAGCAAAGCTGAAATGTCCACAGCTGACCTTAGTATTGATTTTGTTTGGTTTTGTTTGTTTCTGTTTCAGAATGTAGAAAAATATAGCAGCTATCCAGTTTACCACAGTGTCTATGAAACCTATGAAATTGTGGAGAAGTTTTATGATCCCACTTTCAAGAATCATATGACAGTAGCTCAGGTACGGGGAGGGCTGGTGTTTGAATTGGCCAACTCCGTTGTCCTTCCTTTCGACTGTAGAGATTATGCAGCAGCTGTGAGCAATTATGCTCACATCATCTATAATTTGTCAAAGAATCATGAAGAGGAACTGGCAACGTACAGTGTATCCTTTGGTACGTACAATCTTTCATCACTGTCCTCTTTTGTTAATACTAGCAGTGCCTTATCTTAATGCATTAGTCTTAGTCATGAACTGGTACTTACTTGTGCTTTGTGCTGTGTGAACAGTGAATAAAACAGGAGCTATATTCTCAAATAATTTGAAGTTTGAATATGTTAAGTCACTAGTATACTGGTGTAGAAACTATACCACTGCCTTGTAGAGCTAATAGTGAGACGCAGCGACTTGTTATTTGACCTGTGCACCATACATCCATGTTGCTAGCAAGATACCTTTTTCTTGATCCCTACAAAAGTCACACTGCTTTGCAGCTTATGATGCTGGATATTTCTCTATCCATTTCTGATCCTAGGATCATAGGATAATTCAGATTGTAAGAGACCTCAGGAGGCTGACCAGCTCAGCCTGCTCAAAACAGGGTCACTTATGAGATCAGACCGGGTTGGTCAGACCTTTATCTAATCCAATCTTGAAAACCAATAAGGACAGAGACTGCAAAACCTCTCTGGACAGCAGTGCTTGACTATACTCAAGGTGAAAAAATTTTTCCTTATATCCCGTTGGAACTTCTCATTGTTTCATTTATGATTTCAGTTCAGTGATGACAATTGCAAGCCTCATGAGTTGATTGACTGAGGACTTGCTGACTGAGGTCAGGCAGACATGGTCCATCCCTGTGCTGCAGTAAGGATCTTGTACTGGCATGTGAAATTTTATTCAGATAAAAGGGACTCTCAACATGTCTCCTACGTGAGAAGCCTCCTCTTTATTGTGGTATGTTGTATTGGCAACATTATATACTACTCAGTTGAGGGAGCAACTAGAAGGTGTGGAGCTCTGCCTAGGGGTGGATGAAGAGCAAGTGGAGAGCCTATGGGTAAGGATTAAAGGGCAGGCTGACATGGGTGACATGGTGGTGGGGATTTACTACAGGCCACCTCATGAGGAAGACGAAGTCAATGATGCCTTCTATAGACAGCTGGAAGTAGCCTCACGATCACAGGCCCTGGTTCTCATGGGAGCTTCAACCAAGCTGTCATCTGCTGGGAAGACAGCACAGCTAGACATAAACAGTCAAAGAGGTTCCTGCAGAGCATTGAGGATAACTTCTTGACCCAGGTGATGGAGACGCCAACGAGGAGAGGTGCAATGCTAGACCTTGTACTAACGAACAAAGAATGTCTAGTTGGAGAGGTGAAGGTTGGGGGCAGCCTTGGCTGCAGGGACCATGAGATGGTGGAGTTAAGATCCTATGAGGAGGGAGCAGGGCAATGAGTAGGATTGCAACGCTGGACTTGAGGAGAGCTAACTTTGGCCTCTTGAGGGACCTACTTGGAGGAATCACCTGGGGTAGGGCCCTAGAAGGAAGAGGGGTCCAAGA